GCCCTATCTTACACAGGGGAACACTAATTCTCTGTCCACATATTGCACAGATTACCACTGTCTTGGGCAGCATTTCAGAAGAAGTGCAAATATTGTTATCTCTTATTATTAAAAAATGACCAGCTCCTGTATCTCGCAATAATTTTATTTCTTTACCTAATCCCCCTATTCTACTTGAGTAAACCTTACCCAAAGAGGTGAAGTCTTTGACGAGATTGAGCACTATCTTACCATTAAACCCATGACTAGGCTATGCACTCTCCTGCAGCTATTGACTTCTCTTGAGATTTCCTTCACTACCTCAAATAATCCCACTGGTTTAGCCTCTTTTACTACATCCTTTTTCCCAGTGCCTCTCTTAAACCACCAGCACTGTGACTTTGTGTGTCCCACCTTATTACAATGAAAACACCTGAGGTCTTTCACCTTGACACTTCTGTTTAAAAAGGGAGTAAGGCAAAAGACAGAAAATTACAGGCCGATTAGCCTAATCTCAGTCGTGGGTAAGATTTTGGAGTCCATTGTGAAGGATGAGATTTCTGAATGTTTGGAAGTGTATGGTAAACTAGGGCAAAGTCAGCATGGTTTCATCAAGGGGAGGTCATGCCTGATAAATCTGCTGGAATTCTTTGATGAAGTAACGAGCAGGGTAGACCAAGGAGAGCCAATGGATGTTATGAAGGCTTTTGACAAGTTGCCACACAGAACGCTGCTGAGTAAAATAAGGGCCCATGGTGCTAGAGGCAAGGTGCTAGCATGGATAGAAGATTGTCTGTCTGGCAGAAAGCAGAGAGTGGGGACAAAAGGGTCTTTCTCAGGATGGCAGCTGGTGACAAGTGGTGTTCCACAAGGGTCAGTGTTGGGACCACAACTTTTCACTTTATATTAATGATCTAGATGAAGGAACTGTGGGCATTCTGGCTAAGTTTGCAGACGTTACAAAGATAGGTGGAGGGACAGGTAGTACTGAGGAGGTAGGGAGGCTGCAGAAGGATCTGGACAGGTTAGGAGACTGGGCAAAGAAGTGGCAGATGAAGTACAACGTGGGAAAGTGTGAGGTCATGCACTTTGGTAAGAAGAATAAAAGCATGGACTATTTTCTAAATGGGGAGAAAATTCAGAAGTCTGAAGTCCAAAGAGACTTGGGAGTTCTAGTCCAGGATTCTCTCAAAATAAACTTGCAGGTTGAGTCAGTAGTCAGGAAGGCAAATGCAATGTTGGCATTTATTTTGAGAGGACTTGAATATAATAGCAGGGATGTACTACTGAGGCTTTATAAGGCTCGGGTCAGGCCACATTTGGAGTATTGTGTGCAGTTTTGGGCCTCATATCTCAGGAAGGATGTACTGGCCCTGGAGCGGGTTCAGAGGAGGTTCACGAGAATGGCCCCAGGAATGGAAAGCTTAACATATGAGGAACGTTTGAGTACTCTGGGACTATATTCATTGGAGTTTAGAAGGATGAGAGGGGATCTAATTGAAACTTACAGAATCCTGAATGGCCTGGACAAAGTGGATGTTGGGAAGATGCTTCCATTGGTAGGAGAAACTAGGACCCGAGGGCACATCCTTAGAATAAAGGGAAGACCTTTTAGAACAGAGATAAGGAGAAAATTCTTCAGCCAGAGAGTGTTTGAATCAATGGAATTCACTGCCACAGAAGGCTGTGGAGACCAAGCCATAGAGCACATTTAAGACTGAGATAGATAGGTTCTTGATTATCAAGGGGATCAAAGGTTATGGGGAGAAAGCGGGAGAATGGGGTTGAGAAACTTATCAGCCATGATTGAATGGCGGAGCAGATTCGATGGGCCAAATGGCCTAATTTCTGTCCTATGTCTTATGGTCTTATGATCTTAACTAAGACCAAAACACCCAGAGATGCTAGCCTCATGTCAAAATCTATTAAAGGACGTATGAAAGGTGGTATCACCTGCCTGTCACCTTCCTTCTGTTATAAAGGAGTGGTTAAATAAAATAAAATCCTTTCACTCTATAAACAACAAGTAACAATTTATTTATCTAACTCTGACAGTGAGCAAAATAACAGAACTACTAACAAACCGAACAATTCCCCCTTAACTGCTAACGAATTCCAAATAAACCAAAATTCTAACGGTATGCTGTTCCAATAAATACAAATCCCATTTATATAAACTAAAGTAAAAAAAAAATTAAACCTTAATTTCTCCAAATTACAGCCAGGATACATCTTCCGGAATGCTCCACACCCTCTCTGCTGATCCTCTGTCAGGAACACCTTTCTCCATCGAATTGTTGTGTCAGGAATATTAGCTATGAGTGCTGCTGTACCTTTAGTTCAGATGATGGTTTTCTGACAGCTTAAAGAATTCTGTGAGAACCAGTGATTCATTCTTTTAAAGCTGAGAGCTGTTCACTTGGCAGATGACAGTTGACTCTCACACTGATTTTCAAATGCCCTCTTCTTTTGTACCCTTGATGACCTATTAATTTCTTACAATAGAATTGGTCCTAGGTTGTCAAACCATCACATTTAAATTTAATTGGTTTTTAGTTTCTAAATGCCTGGTTTAAATTAATTGGCTGATATTCAAACTGGTTACATAAACAAACTACTGACTGGGTGGTTAACCACACAGCCTTTTGATACAATGTTTCAATTCCAGGAGCTGTCTGTGCATCTGCATATTTTTTAAATCTCCTAGCCTAGAAAAAACACATCATCTTTTAAATGGACTAGCACTTTTCCCCTATCATTTTACAAGCATCAAATACTGTACCCAACTTCGCAACACAGGGATAGGGCGGGATGCTCTGAGGGCCAGTGCAGACTTGACAGGCCAAATGGCCTCTTTCTGCAGTATAGAGATTCTATGATTCTAAGAATGGCATCTTGAAAATCTGACATTACTTGCAGTAATTGATGAGTTATTGTTATTGCTATTGAATTCAAAACTGAATAATATAAGCAGAGAGAACAATTTTGTCTAACAATGCTAATTACACTTCATCCAGAACATATTTCAGATTGAAAATATACTCTTAAAATTAAAAATTAAAATTAAAAAATTAAAAAATTAAAAAATTAAAAATTATGTTCAAACCAGATCAAGGATTAATTGTTAAGGGTTAATTGGACACAACAACAAGCAATTGAATAAAGTGGAAAAGTACATGGGAAATAGGCCGAATGTGAAAGCTGCTTCTTTTGACTGAAGAATGACCATGTGATACTGCACTGTTGTGTGAATTGTCCTATTTGGCCACCACATGGATCTACCTGAAGGTGTTTTTCTGTGTATTGGAATGTCTGAGAAAGTACCACAGAATGATGATACAGCATGCCATCTTTGATTCAAATGAGTATTAATATTGGGGACATTGCCCCATAGGACTTCACCTTGGTCTGGGATTGCGAATGAGGCCAGGAACTTAGGGTTCTCCAGACCAGCCGTTGTAAATCGGAGTCCCAGTTGAGCAGGAGGCAATGAAACTTATTGAGCATGTCTAAAGTAGATTAAGCTAACAGATCCACTCATAGCTGTATTAAAGACATGCAAATTAAAGTAGATTATACTGCTTTGACTGCTATATACACATGTTTACTGCTAATGTATATGCCTATATTTATCTCAATAAATTCGCCATGTAATATATTCACTGTTTTATACACAAAACAACCAATAAAATTGTTAATTAGTATCACTTAACTCGTAGAGTATTTTATTATATCCCACCAAATACACTATTGAAACAACTCAAATATAGAGCTAAGGTAGTAGATACTGAAAGTTGACATGAATCAGAACTTTAAAAAGTGCATATGTTAGTGCTTTAAATGATTACAAGTGGTCTCTTCTCCAGTCAACTATATTTAAGGAGGTGCTGCTCTTTGTCCTTTATATAAGCCACTGGACAGGCATTGGAGAGAAGTAGTTTCCATCTGACAAGAATATGATTACTCAAAGCAATTTAAGTTATGCAAGGTGTACAAGCAAATGTAGCAGTGAAGAAAAGGCATAAGTGTAAGGTCTGTTGAAACCATGATTTGTGACTTGCACCCTTGTTAATTTCAAGATCCTCTATCCGCATTGACAGGCATCTGCTCCCCCAGTGCTGACATATGGTCTTACTTGCTCAGAACTTCTGCTCTCACATAGTGTGAATTTTTGTACAATAAAGAAGATTTGAGTGTATTAGTTGTGGCCTAGGAAAGTGGTTTGAAGATATGCATATAAGGTTAGAGTGCTATGAATGTATTTCAAATTGCAGAGATATGAAAGGTGGGGGAAGTAACAAATGCAATTTGGGGAGGGGGTGTGTGCAGAATGTGACAATAGGAATTGGTGGAGATGGAAACAGCTGTGGTAACAGTAGGTAGATGTAGATGAAGAGAAGGCAGGGAGCTGCCTTAGTCTGGAAGAAGTATTTTATCTCCTCCTGAGCACTTCCCCATCAAGTTTGAAACCTGGACCTAGTTGGCAACTGCTCTTATTTCATCTAACCAAGTGGAGAAAACAATAGGACCTGGCTTATGTTCTCAGTGTACAAGGGACTCTTGTGGTGCAGTTGGCAGTGCCCTAAACAGAGCTACAAGGCCTGGGTTCAAGCCTTACCTGCTCTAAAGTATGTGTAAATCATCTTTGAACAATTTAATTAAAAAAGCATCTAAGCTACCAGGGACAATGCGTTCAGCTGTTCATATACTTGTTCAGGATCAAACTATATCTTGTGAACAGTTAGAAATAGTTTGTAATATTGGAGTAGATTTTTGTGCAAAAGTGGTGCTGTGGATAGATAATTAAGGTAAAATTATTTAATTTTCATTTCAATTTTATTGTTTGTAATTGCCACCTTTATGCCCAAGTGGCAAGTTAAAAATTTGACCCATTATTTATGTAATGGATGCAAGTAATTGTATTTAAAATAGATTACAATATTGAACAATAAAAAGTAGTGTGGAAATCTACTATATGCCTTGCCTAATGCTAACTTCACTTCTTTTGAAACCCATTTCAGATGGAAAAGATACTCCCAGAGCTAGAGCTAGAAGATCAGACACTGCGACATACCAGGAACCAGGAGGTAAATAAATGGGTACATGTTACTGCTTTGACTTATATATCATGGATAAGCAATTTCTCTATTTTCCAACAATGAGGCACAATTACCTTCATGCCCCACTGGATGGACATTGCGGGGGCAATATTATCTATTCTAGAAATGAATACCTATTCGAAGCAGCTTTTCTTTGTCATACAAGGTGGAGAGGGAAATCTGTCAAGATCTCCAGTAAGTTAATTTAAGCATTGAGCCACTTGGGGAGATAATTAATCACATGTTTGTTGACTTGAGTTTTGTGAGGAGAGATACGAGGAAACAAATAGCTTCATGCACAGGAAGGAGACCTATACCAGAGGTGCTGTTATTGTAGTCTCTAAGAAGTCAGGGTCGAGGAGGGTCCTGGGGTGTTTAGAAGTCAGTAAGAAGAAAGCTGCAGAAGCAGAGGGCTGTAAGGGTGCTACAAAAAGGAAGACATCCAAAAAGCCTGTTCAAGACATTTGTGTAGGGAGCCCACTATAACTATTAGTGGGACGAGTTAGCAGTTTGATTTAAGGAACCCAGGAGTAACATTAACTGAGAAAAATGACTAGTGAATGTGCAATGATTTTCACAAAGAAACTTGATTACAGCTGTCCTACCTGAGCCAGAAGTTTTAGCTTGGCAGTGGCAGTAATTCTTAACTGATGTCTGAATGTTTCAGGGTAAAGATGAGTTATAAGTGATAAATCTGATGCTTTTCTAAGTACATCTTTCAATAGTTAATGTTTAGTGTAGTTTTTATAAAATTGTTATTTTGTTTAAGTATCTTGGAAGCTTGTGAATATGTCTCCAAAGTAAACAAAATGAAAAATAAAATGTATCAAGTGTCGTGGGCGTTTGGTATGCTTGCCTTTATTGGTCAGTGCATCGAGTATAGGAGTTGAGACGTAATGTTGCAGCTGTACAGGATATTGGTTAGGCCACTTTTGGAATACTGTGTTCAATTCTGGTCTCCCTGCTATGGGAAAGAGGTTGTGAAACTCGGAAGTGTTCAGAAAAGATTTATAAGCATGTTGCTAGGATTGGAGGGTTTGAGCTATAGGGAAAGACTGAACAGGTGAGGCTGAGGAATGTCCTTGTAAAGGTTGATATCATGACGGGTGTGAATAGCCAAGGTCTTTTCCCCAGAGTAGGGAAGTCCAAAAGGTAAGAGGGAAAAAATTTAAAGCAGACCTAAGGGGCAACATTTTCAACGCAGAGGGTGGTGTGTTTATGGAATGAACTGCCAAAGGAAGTGGTGGGGACTGGTACAATTACAACATTTAAAAGGCATCTGGATGGGTATATGAATAGGAAGGGTTTGAAACGGATATTAAGCAAATACTGGTAAATGGGACTAGATTAATTTGGAGTATTTGGTCGGCATGGATGAGTTGGACCAAAGGGTTTGTTTCCGTGCTGTATATCTCTATGACCAGACCAAACCCCCTCAAAATATATTAAGGTAGCCTAGATCCTAACTTTCTTATTTTGAAAGGCAAATGCCAGGCATTCTGTTTCAGGTGCAATTTGATTGGTCAAGCTACCAGATTTGAAGCAAAGCACACTTTATTCATACACTATAGTTGAAATACAAAAGAAGAGATTGGAATAAACAACCGTATTGGAAAACTTAACAGAACAATAGATTAGTTAACTACTAAACAGTAACTGTTGCAACATAGTAACATTCCACAATGCACCCTGGATAAAGGCAAATTCAAGAAAGTAGATTGTCTCACAGGCAATTCTCCAGTCCAAGAGAAAAAACATCAAGAGAAAACCCAGTAGCAGGGAAAGAAGTACTGCAGCTTGCAAACCCAGCAACAGCTGCTACTGCTGAAAAATAACTAAAAATCCTGGTTCTGTAGGAGCTTGCCCCACCTAATCAGGCTGCTTCCATTTTTCCTACTTCAGGAAAAAAGACAAGGCCTCTCAAACTCTTTCCTTTATGGGGTTTATATCGCCAGCTCAGCAGCTGCCTTAAAACCTCTTTTCAAAAAAAAGGACAAAGTACACCTCTTAAAACCAGAGCATCGTCATACAAACCACATTTCACACTGGGATTTGACTTATCCAATTTTACCATCAATTGGTCTTATCATATCTTTGTCTTGTGGCCTGCAACTTTATTAATTTCTATGACCTTTACTTGTTATAAAGGTAGTTAGTATCTGTAGGGGTTAAATGAAACCACGTGATAAACTCCACTCATCAGGATGTAAGGAACTGTTCCTGGGAGGAGCTAACCAGAGCTCTGTGCATATCCCATGAGTTCCATTTGGGTTTACCAGAGGGTGTTTAGTGCTTCAATGATTGTGCTTGATGTTAATAGAATGTAGCTAAAGTACTAATTTGTAGTTCATCTTAAATTGAGGTCATAGGCTATTGAGAGACTATGTATCACAGATCTAAGTGTACAGGTATTTCTGCTATAATGTCCGTTTCGGGAATGCAAATTGGCTGTAACATGATTGATGAATAGTGGACGCTATATGGATAATACAAACTTTCTACTGTACAATATAGCGATTTTCTACAGCGATTTCCCTATAATGCGATTTTCTATGATGATTTTCTATAGTGCGAGGTCACAAAAGAACATAACTATTGCGTTATAGGGGAAATACCTGTAACTATTTAATTTCTTACCATTTGTCAAAATTGAGCCTAACTTCTGCCAAAACACGTGTGAAGATTCTTCCTTTCATGGTATCAGCAGCCTAAATTGATACCAGCAAGGAGGATTGAATCTACCTGGACATTCCAGACATTTCTTTTTGAAATCAAAATTACAAGATGACAAGCAATGGCCCACTGAAGATTTGATTTAGTTGCACTGTGCAAATGGCATCAGTGGCAGGCACCGCTTTCTCATGATATGCAACTGTGTTGATATCCTAAAAGAATCTTCAATGCTTCAAAATACACAAGTATTTGAAGGAGGAAGAAAATATTCCCGCAACAAAATTAAATGGAGCTTGAATATTTGACATTTGCTTGAAACCATACAGAGGCAGTAGGCTTCTGTGAATGCAGCAGACAGTTAAAAAGATTGCAGTAGCAAAAATAATACTAAGCCTTCCCCTAGAAGCTTGAAGTAATGAAAAATATTGAAAGTGCTTGTAAAGACCATGGAGAGTTTTCCAGACCAATAAGAAACAGAATGATTGAAACATACAAGATCCTGAGGGGACTTTACTGTGTCGATGTTGAAAGGATATTTCCTTTCGTGGGAGAATCTAGAACTACAGATTATACTTCAAAAACTAAGGGGCACCCATTTAAAACTATTGGAAGCCAGGACATTGAGAGGCCAGGACCTTGCAAGAGAGAGGTCAGCAGCAAGAGTTCCAGTGGGTGAAGGGACGTGAGCAGCAACCAAGGAGAGATAGAGGGGCCAGGACCTCATGAAAGTAACTGAATAGGGTGCTGGTGAGGGCACACGTGAATTACTGTGTACAGTTTTGGTCTCCTTACATGAGAAACGGTATACTGGCACTGGAGGGGATGTAGAGGATGTTCACTAGGTTCATTCCAGCGTTCAAAGGGTTTATGAGAAGAGATTAAGTAGACTGGGACTATATTCAATGGAATTTAGAAGAATGAGGGGGGATTCTTTTAGAAACAGAAATTTATGAAGGCATTAGACAAGACAGAATCAAGGGAGGTTGTTTCCACTGGCAAATGAAATTAGAACTAAAGGGCATAGCCTCAAAATAAGAGGGAGCAGATTTAGGACTGAGTTGAGAAGGAACTTCTCCCAAAGGGTTGTTAATCAGTGGAACTCCTTCCCGGAGAAGCAGTTGAGGCTACTTTGTTGAATGTTTTTGAAGGCAAAGATAGATAGATTTTTGAACAGTAAAGGAATTAAGTTTTATGGTGAGTGGCCAGGTAAGTGGAGCTTAGTCCACAAAAAGATTAGCCATGATCTTATTGAATGGTAGAGCAGACTCGAGGGGCCTGATGGCCTACTCCTGCTCCTATTTCTTATGCTTTAAAGCAGAGATGAAGAAACATTTTTTTTCTGAGGGCTTACTGTCATTGGAATTCCCTTACTCAAAAGGCCGCAGATACAGAGTCTTCAAATATTTTTAAGACTCAATATGTAGATAGGGCAACTAGAGGGAAGGCCATTTTGGATTTGGTGCTTGGCAACGAACCAGGCCAGATGTCCTCGGTGAAAGAGCATTTTGGTGATAGTGCTCACAACTCCCTGACCTTTACTATAGTCATGGAGAGGGATAGGAGCAGACGGTATGGGAAAGAATTCAGTTGGGGGAGGGGAAATTACAATGCTATTAAGCAGGAACTGCGGAGCATAAATTGGGAATAGATGTTCTCAGGGAAATGCGCGACAGAAATGTCGAGGTTATTTAGAGAGCACTTGCTGTGAGTGCTGAATAGGTTTGTCTCACTGAGGCAAGGAAAGGATGGTAAGGTGAAGGAACCTTGGATGATTAGACATGTGGAACATCTGGTCAAGAGGAAGAAGAAGTTTACTTAAGGTTGAGGAAGCAAGGATCAGACAGGGCTGTAGAGGGTTACAAGGTAGCCAGGAAGGAACTGAAGAATGGACTTAGAAGAGCTAGAAGAGGGCATGAAAAAGCCTATGCGGGTAGGATTAAGGAAAACCCCAAGGCATTCTATACTTATGTCAGGAACAAGAGGATGGCCAGAGTGAGGGTAGGGCCAATCAGGGATAGTGGGGGGAACTTGTGCCTGGAGTCAGAGGAGGTGGAGGAGGTCCTTAATGAAAACTTTACTTCAGTATTCACTAGTGAGAGGGACCTTGTCGTTTGTGAGGACAGGGTGAAACAGGCTGATATGCTCGAACAGGTTGATGTTAGGAAGGAGGATGTGCTAGAAACTTTGAAAAACATGAGGATAGATAAGTCCCCTGGGCCAGACGGGATATACCCAAGGTTTCAATGGGAAGCAAAGGAAGAGATTGCTGCACCTTTGGCAATGATCTTTGCATCCTCACTGTCCACTGGAGTAGT